TCATCACAGAGGGGCTGTCGCTGAGGGTGCGCATATCTGTGTTAGGGTGTGGGGTGGGGACTGGGGTTCCTGTGTCCTCTGTGTCCAGCAGCGGATTGATCAAGGCGGGACCCCGAGCCTCAGAACTCCCTTCCCCCTGCCGTGGGCACCGATCCTACCCTCAACGCTTGGCTGCCTCCACTGCACAGAGCGATCTCCTTTCCCAGAAGTCACTCACACTGTGGGGTCGCCCATGCCTGTCCCTGAGCCCCCTCTCCTCTGCTCAGGCCACAGAGGCAGGTAAAGGACAGCCCAGGAGGGTTGTAATGAGGTGCTGGCTCCTGCCGCCCAGCCTCCTCCTGCCCGGCCTGCTCTGGCCCTGGCAGGTTCCACCCAAGTCCAGGGCCCCGCTCCACACCCAGCAGCCCCTCACCTCTGTTCGTCGGCCCTGCTGTGGCCCCAGCCGGCCCTCCTCTAACAGAGACTCCTTTGCCTGCAGCCCAGGTGCACCTGGACAGGTCTGTGCTCCACCAATCCACATCCTGGGCGCCCGCCCCCTCCCCGTCGGGGTTTACCCTGGCCATTAAGAATGTCCTTGACAAACCACCCAGAACTGCCCAGGCCGGTTGAGCCACGCAGGCCAGAACAGCCAGGTTGAGCCACGTAGGGCAGAACAGCCAAGGGGGACCAGGAGCTGAGCTCCCTAGAACCCAGGAGAGCCACGCAGAGGGTGGCGCCTGATACGCTGCGGGCTCCCTACTGCAGCCTGGGGGACACGGGGGTGGGGGAGGAGAAGCTCCTGCACACAGCAGCACCGTGAGGGGTCCTCTGCAGGGGCTGGATTCTCAGAGCTGGACACGGAAACGGTTTGAGGAAGCGGAGAAGGGAGAGGGAAGAAAGCCGACGGAGCTGGAGGAAGAGCTTGGGCAAAGGCGAGGGGCCCCATCACTACCGCACCCTCACTGTGGGCCAGGCACTGTGCTCAGCCATCCCCAGAATCAGTGAGTGCTCAGAGAAACCCGACGAGGTGGGAGGTACTATCCCATGTTAAAGAAATTGGAGTCTCTGAGGGGTGATGCTGCGCCAAGGTCACAGAGACCGAGGGGCAGAGCCGGAATTCCCAGCCAGGTTTGCCAGTCCCCAAAGCCTGCACACGGCTCCGCCGCCCACCTTGCTCAGGGGTGGGGAGGAGACCGACAAGCCGGAGCAGGGGCGGTGATGTGGGGCCCCCGCAGGCCTCTGAGACCTGGGGAGGAACTTGAACTTGATCCTCAGGTCCAGCCCCTCTAGCTTCAGAGAACTACCCCTCAAACCAGAGTGCTTCCCAGTCTATGCCACAGATGATCCTGCCCCAGCAGAGGGTAGGAATGAGGACATGAGGGAGAGGGAACGAGCACGGGTTATGTGCCAGCCACACGCCGGGCCCTTTATGTCTGCAACACAGTCCATCCTCCCGCATCCTTGTGAGTCAAGGGCAGCATCACCATTTGGCAGATGATAGTGGATCAGAGAGGTGTAGTGACTCCTCTAAAGTCACACAGCAGAGGCTGAACCCAGACCTAGACTGTCTGGCTTTTCCCCTCCCCAGAGCTCCTCCAGCCCCTGTGGCTTTCATCAGTCAGGACAAGGGTTTGGTCACAAAGCAGAGGATTTGGGTCTGATGTCACTTTTGGGAAGATTTGGGCAAGAGATTTGGGATAACTGCTCTGTCTCCCTTCCCCAGACAAATCTCCTTTCTGAAAATCATGATGGCCCTTCAGGGACTTGTTAAAACCCTGGGACCCTGAGCCACCCTCTGCCCCTGGATGCCTGGCCACATCCATCCAAAATAGGAGCACGTGTGTGTGTGTGTGTGTGTGTGTGTGTGTGTGTGTGTGTGTGTGTGTGGTGGGAGGCGGGACGGGGGGCTTGCAGCTCTGCACGGGCTGGGCCCACTGTCACCTTGCCACACCCACCTGGTGACTTTGTACAGGAACAGGATCCCTGGCTGCCCTGTTGACATCCCAAACCCCAGTATAAGCCCACAGCCGGCATCAGCTGCCCAGCAGGTGCTGCACGTCCACACCCTCACCTCCCAGCCCTGGGAACACCAGGAAACTGGGGAGAGGGCAGCAGAGTCCCTCCCAAAGCCACTTTCCTGCATCAAGCCCCAGCAGCCGTGGAGGGTAAGAGCAGGCTGGATGCTAGAACAGCTCTGTCACCGCAACAGGTCCTCCACCACTCAGAACCTTGGTGTCCTCTTCTGTCCCCTGAGGAGAGCTGGGGAGTCATGCACGCATTCCTCATTCATCATGACTCCCCCAGAGCCTAGAACAGGGCCCCGCACAGAGCAGGTGTTCTGTAAATATCTGCTGAGTGATGAGCAGTTTCCAAATGCTGGCCTGCGGGCTGGCTGTGTGGGGAGCTGACGGGGACAGATACCTGCTCGCTTCCCAAGACCGTAAATCAGAATCTTGGGGTGCAGAGGGAAGAGTCTGTGTGTGTTAAAAGTTCTCCCAGGTGATTGGGATAAAAGGCATTGGATCATCTCGGAAGTTCCTTCTACCCCTGCGATCTGGAGGGACAGCATGCCTAGAGACAGGGGAATGGCCTTGATGACCTTTTGAGGTCCCTCCTGGCCACTGAAGTCTGTAGATCCAGTACATTTATGGGCGATGCCTCAGGGATAGGAGGAAGGGGAGGAGGAACGGTGGGCGGAGGTGGGTAACGGGATCTGACGTCCAGGAGCAGTGACTCAGGCCCTCAGCACCATGACAGTGTGTCTGCATTTAGCCACCAGCTCCTGTTTCCCTGGCGGGCAGGAAGCCTCTGGGCCCACCCCCACCCCCGCCCCTACCCTCTTTCCAACTTGCCTCGTGCTGGTCACTTCCTGGCAGCCCCACTGGAACCCCTCAGCCAGTATGGGTGACACGGGCCCAGCAGGAACCTCCACTAGAATGACAGACCCCTCTTGCTCCAGCCACCCCCCAGCTCCCAGCTCCACGTTGCCCCCACCCACGGACCACCAGCACCAGTGAGTACCTCTAGACAGAGTCCCACAAGGATGGTGTTCTGTGGGAGCCAGAGAAAAGAAAGACAGTCCCCACCTTCAGGAGCCCCCAATCTAACAGGGAGACAGGCGGACCCCTGCACCAGGGGAACCACCAGTCTGATGGGGGAGTGAGGACACGACAGAGAAGTCACAGACCCAGGAAGACATGTCAGAGTGCCAGGTGCTGGGGTGGGCCTCTGGGCAGGGGCCCCTGTGTGGCTGCAGCAATCACAGAGGCCTTCATGGGGGAGGAGGAATCAGAGCAGGTCTGGGCAGGAAGGGCAGGATTTGGAGAGAAGAACAGAAACCCCACACCGTGGCCTGGGCAGCGCCCACCGCCCAGAATAGCCTCTCCTGCTTCACCCCCTGGCCCCGCAGGATGTCAGTCCTGGCTCTGCTGAGCCGTGGGGGGCTAGAGAGGGGCTTCTGGGCCAGTCTGTCTCCATACACAGTGTGGTCAGGTCACCCCAGCCTCCTGGAGGGTTTTTTCTTTTTTTTTAAGATTTTATTTTATTTGAGAGAGAGAGAGAGAGAGAGAGAGAGAGAGAATAAGCAGGGAGCAGGGGAGGGGCAGAGGGAGAAGCAGACTCCCCCCCCCCCCGAGTCTGAGCAGGGAGCCCGATGTGGGGCTCCATCCCAAGACCCTGGGATCATGGCCTGAACCGAAGGCAGCCGCTTAACTGACTGAGCCACTCAGGCGCCCCTCCTGGAGGGGCTCTGAATCAGACCCACCTGGGTCCGAATCCCAGCTCTGCCACTTACCCACATGCAAGGCCCGCCCCCTCGGTGAGGTTCCGCTTTCCCGCCTATAAAATGGGAACAACACCTCTTTCCCGAGCCGAGCTGTGTGGAGATCAAGTGGGGCGGTGCTGGAAAGCTCACAGCCAGGAGGCACTCCAGAATTCAGAGCTAGAATAGCAATAGCGTCTTCTGGAATTCTCCTTTACCTCTCCCTGAAATCCCGCCTGCCAGAGTCCTGAGCATCTCTTGAGCTGGAGGTCAAGCAGACAGTTCCCAGCAACATAACCTTCTAGACCTTTAAGGACACTTACCACTAAATTATCTGCCCCCCTCCCCTGAATCCTGGCCCAAACCCCACCCTGGCCAAGGGCTGCCAGCGTCCTCCCCTTGGGGCCCCCAAAATGTTCTGAGAGTGGGGGGAGGGCAAGCACAGAATCTGGGTCCCCGTGGGAGCGGGCAGGGGGACAGCTGCACATTCCCCACCCCCCCAGGGTGTCTCAGTCCTTCCTAAGAGCTGGCTGTAAACATTATCTGCCCTGAGGGAAGGAGTCTCTCGCCTCACGCAGGGGTCCAACAGGTGGAGGTCCTCCACCCACCCCTACCTTCTGATCTTGCATCTCCTGCTCTCCCCAGAGCCAGGTGCTTGGGCCGCCGCTGACCTGACTGCCCACCACCTAGATCCCCTCTTACCAAGGACTGGAACTTTGGGGGAGAGGGGACAGGAAACAGAAAACCCTATCCTCAAGAAGCTTGCAATCTGATGGCGGAGGCACAGTCCTAAACCCCCTCCCCCCCGCCAGGCTGAAGCGGGAGACAGGGACACAGAAACACCACACACACACACACACACACACACACACACACACACACACACACACACACACACAAGGTCCTGTGGCGGGCACGGGGGGTCTGAGCGGCGAGAGGACAGGTTGCCCCCTGCCCCGCCGCTGCGGAGGCCCCGGGCTGGACTTATCGGCCTGGAATGCCGGGCTGTGAGCTCAGCCTGGGCCTGCGTGTGCTCGACTGTCAGCAGTGCAGCCTCACCAGCGAGGATTTCCAGCCCCCTCCGGGCCGAGGCAAGGCCTAAATTTAGCTGGGAGACAAGGGGCTGGCCCCAAGCCCAGGGACGGTCCAGCCTTATAAAGCGCCGGCAATCAGGGCCGGGCACACTCCCCCCCGAGCCTGCTGCCCACACGCTGTCCTGTCCCCCTGCCTGCCTGGCCAGGGCCCAGCCGCCGGCCCGTGGATGAGCCACAGGACCTCTTCCACCTTCAGAGCGGAGAGAAGCTTCCATTCCTCCTCGTCCTCGGCCTCCTCGGCCTCCTCGGCCTCCTGTGCCCTCCCAGCCCAGGACCCGCCCATGGAGAAAGCCCTGAGCATGTTTTCCGAGGATTTTGGCAGCTTCATGCGGCCCCACTCGGAGCCCCTGGCCTTCCCAGGCAAGTTGTTAGGGCTCGGACGGGAGATGCACAGGGAGGGGACCCCTGCTCCAGGGCACCTGTGAACGTGGCCGCCGAGCTGCCCAGAACAGGTGCCGCCCAACTGGAGCCACGTGTGGCCACCAGGACAGATGTGGCCACAGAGACAGATGTGGCCCCAAGAACGGGCCGGGCTCCAAGAACGGCTGGGGCCCCAGGGGTCAACTCTGATGCCAGTGGCCCCACAGGGCCTCTGGCCAGGTCCTCGTTGGAGCTTTGGAGGACTGGATGGGGTTGAGGGGTGGGAGACATCCCCCAGCCTCCAGGCCTGGGTGGGCTGCCCCACACAGTGTCACTCAACCCACCACAGAAAAGGTGGGCTGCAGGAGGTGAGGGGAGGAGGGCAGGGGGGTTAGGGACAACAGCTGAGGGGGAGTCAGGCCTGGGGGCCTGCCCCTTTCCCCAAGAGGAGCCAGAAACCCGGGTTCTAGAGGCAGGCCTGCCCGGGGCTCAGCTCACAGCAGCCTTCCCCCTATAGCCCGTCCCGGGGGGCCGGGCAACATCAAGACCCTCGGGGATGCCTACGAGTTTGCAGTGGACGTGAGTGACTTCTCACCTGAAGACATCATTGTCACCACCTCCAACAACCACATCGAGGTGCGGGCTGAGAAGGTGAGCCTGCCCATCCTGCCCGGCTCCACATCTGTACCCTCTGCCCAGTGTCCCCACTCCCATGCCGGGACCCCAGACCCTGACTAGTGCCCCCCACAACCTCCCAGGGCAAACTGGAGACCTGGCTCCTACTGCTTGTAGGCAGAGGCGCCCCCCACCCCCCCACCACTGCCTCTCCCTGCCCCAAGGCGTTGAGATCCTTTGTTCAGGAGCCAAAGGGCAGCTGAGGGAGTCACAGGGGAATGGGAGAGGGCTGGAGGGATGCAGGCAGGGGGCACCTGAGGAGGTGAGGCGAGGGGGGAACCGAGAGGATGCAGATGGTAGCTGAGTGGGGACAGCTTTTCTGGCAGGCACGTGGGTAGGTGGGGGGCTCCCCTGGGGAGCTGGGGGGAAGAGTTCCCCCACGTGACACCCTTCAAGCCCCTCTTTCCTCCCCCCACCCGGAGGTTCAGCCCCCATCCTGGGATCCTTGAACGGGGCTCCAGGCTGGGCAGAGGCCCTGCCGTTCAGGGTCAGATGCACTCCACACCCCACAGTCCTTGCACCCGTGGGTCTCAGGGTCACTGGGTCACTAGGGTCTCGGAGTCCCAGTTCCCAGGAGGCCTCTACTGGGGAGGAGGGTGTGGCCTGGCCTGACCAAGGGTGCTGCCCCCAGAGGGTCTGCCCAAGTCTTCCTGCGGATCCTCCAAGGCCTGGCTTCCTCTGCTGAGCACGGGAGGCTTGCTGCCCCGGGACCTCTACCAGAGAAGCCGAGGACTGTGGGCACCAGGACCAGCGGGCAGCACGTGCCAGCCTGCATCCCCCCCCCCCACCCCAGTGACTCAGCCACCCCAGGCTCCTCTGGACACTGCGTGCGGGCCAAGCCATGGGGGGAGGGGCAGCCCATCCGCTGGGCTGCTGACACCCCATGTGTCTGGGCCTCCCCGAGGGCACGGCCCTGCTCCCCCCTGCTGCTCAGGCTGTCTTCTCTTTGCTGCTCGGGAGCTCCTCCCTCTCTGAGCTAGCCAACACCACACCCGCCCCCTCCCCGCCCCCGTGGAAGCACTGGGGCTCCTCTGAGCCCCTCTGTCGCTGTCCCCACCACTGCCACTGGGCCAGCCCCTCAGCACGGGCGCGTGGGGGCCTGGCTGGCGTGACACAAGGGAGAAGGGACGGCGGCTTGATCCCAGCGGGACGGGGGCGGACACCCTGCGCTGACCCATCGTCACCCCTCCCCAGCTGGCAGCTGACGGCACGGTCATGAACACCTTCGCTCACAAGTGTCAGCTGCCGGAGGACGTGGACCCCACCTCGGTGACCTCTGCCCTGAGGGAGGACGGCAGCCTCACCGTCCGGGCCCGGCGCCACCCGCACACGGAGCACGGCCAGCAGACCTTCCGGACCGAGATCAAAATCTGAGGGCCTCCCTGTCCCGGGCCCCTCCCGCTCCCCCCTTCTCCCCACACTGGCCTGCCAGAGAAGTTTGCCTCACCCCTCATGACAGCTTGCAGCACTTCCCAGCTCAAGCTCCAGGCCCTGAGGTGGCTCATCCCCCCTAAACTGAGGCCTTCTGCTCCCCAGGGCAGGCCAGGGAAACTTTTGCCTCACCTACAGCCCCCAAGATTCCAGATGTGGCCTCTTTCACTGAATCCGGGATAAAGGGATTGAGATGGGAAAGGAAGCTCCCAGAGAACCCACTTTGGGGAAAGGGACTGCGACAGGCAGGATCTCCAGGCAAATAATCTGCAGGACAGACAGACAGACAAACCCTTTGATCTCTGGAGTCTCTGCAGGGCAGGGGTGGAGGGGACAGAGACCTGGGACCCCCTTGACCGAGGGGAGTGGGGGGGAGGCAGAGGCGCTGATCCAAGTGGAACTGCACAGGGAAGCCAGAGGGGACAGCCCCGGCGGGGAACCTCCTCTCTGCCACACCCCAAGCCCCAAGCCCCAAGCCCCAAGCCAGGCTGCCTGCCTACCTGGTGCCCCCACCAGCCTGCTGTGCCGGGGCGGGGCCACACAATGTCTGTATATAGATGGGGTTCTTCCAATACACCTGGTTCGTGATAAACTGTACAGCACCCCTGACCCCCACCTCCCCCCCCCCGCTTGTGTCCCCAGGCAAGGCCTCACTGAGCGGTGGGGCTGGTCCTTCCTCCCACCCCGAGACCAGGGCTCCTGCGGCTGCCTCCCCTGCAGACAGGTCACCCAGCTGAGGTGGGAGAGACAGCATGGATGGGACCTTAGGTCTTCAAGGTTGGACCCCTTGAAGTTTCTTGTCAACCTTCCCCTGTGGCCAGTCACCTCCCCCATCCTGCCCCCTCTTTAATCGGTGAATCTATAGGCTTGGTGTGTGTATATACCACACACACATGCCCATGGTCACATCCTTCAAATACTGAACAATACCATTAGCTGAGGCTGAATTCAGCATATTCGAAAATCAGATTTTATAATCTCTATTTTTATCAGTGGGGAAACTGAGTCCCTGAGCAGTTGAAAGCCCGGCTCATTCATTAAAGGCTGGATTTGAACCCAGGCTGTGAAAGCTGCTCTCAAGCGGACCCCCTCCCCTCTGAGCACGGGGGAGTAGTTCCCCTCCTTCTGCCTCATGTGGCCTCTGCATCCTGCCCCACATCTTCATGCTGAAGAGTGCCCGGATTGTAGGAAGAGCCCCCAACCCAGTTCCCTTCTAGTCTCCAGTCCAGGGCAAGGGACCTCCAGGGAGGTCATCCTTCATCTTAGGGAGCCTCAGATACCCCCAGTGACACTGGCTCAGTCTCCAACATACAGAAGCAGGGGTGGGGGGGAAAGGGGTGGTTCACAGTAGTTGAGGCCCCCTGGGGGCAGGAGGCAAGGCCAGCTTCTCCCTTCTGCACCTCTTGGTCAGTGTTCTTTAGGGTGGCCTCTCACCCCTGCCATTCTGGGGCCCTTAGGGGATGGCTGGTGGGGGGGAGGGGGCATGGGAAGACCCTAGCATTGTACCGTGCACACACAATAAACAACACAGACTTCTGGAGATCACCTGCCTGAAGTTCTCAAACTTGGGATGGGGCTGGAGGCAGCCAGGGGGAGAAACCCCAGACTAAACTGACATGCCTTCCTTGAGATTTGGGGCCAGGGGTGGCAGCTCAAGTACATTTCAAGGACCTCCCAGAAATGTGGGTGTCCTTTGGCTTTCTCCCTCGGCACCAAGACCCACCTGAGCAGGAACCCCAGAATCATTTCCCTGAAAAACCTTGCAGTGCCTTCTCTTCCAACTGCCAGGCACTGTCCCAGGCACAGGGACACCAAAGGCGGGCCAGCTGTCCTGCGTCACCTGCCCTCCTGAAGCCCAGCTTGTGTGAGGGCCAGACCGGCCGAGGGACTGGCTCAGGGTCGCACAGACCCAGCGGCAGGGCAGGGCTGGACCCTGGCTGGAGGGCTGGCTGGTTCGGGGAGTCCCGGTGCGCTCTGGAGGGACCCCACCCCACCCCCAACACCACGAGGCGCCACTGAAACCCGAGCGCCAGGCGCTCCACAGCGCAGCGCGGGCTGCCGGCGGGAGTAGGGGAGCAGAGGGAAGAGGGGGCGCGGTATTTCCAGCCTCCGTGACTCACTGATTCCACTGGGCTATTTGCAGCCCCGAAACTCATCGGCGCGGGGCTTGGGGGTGGAGCCGGGCCAGCTTCCCCGTCTCCCTCAACCCCATCCAGGGTCAGGCTCACCTTGGCTTCCCGATCCCCTGGGTCGCGAAGGGGTCGGGGGCTGGGCGGCGGGCAGCCCCCAGCTGGGAAAAGGGGCAGCTCCCCCCACATGGCCGGTGGGGCCCAATACACCCACCCCCCGGCCCCAGCAGCTCTCTCCCCAGACCGAGGTTTGGGGAGATGAAGATTTCCCGGGGGACAGAGCAGAAGCTGTGTCTGAGAGAGCCCTCCCACCAAGGTGACCCTGCGCAGGAGGAGGAGGGAGGGGAGATGGAGACGGCAGGCCCTCTTTCATCGGCTCCGCCCCCTGGGCGCCTGGGCTGGCTCTGACGCTTTGTCTCCCCCCGCCCCCCACCCTTTCCAGGCTAAATATAGGTTTGGCTGCCAGCCGTGCGCCCCACCCCCACCCCCACCCCGTGAAGAATAATTTTAGCAGCCCCATTCATTGAGCGCCTAGTGTGTGCCAAGCATACTGCTCATCCACGCAATAATTCTGCAAAGTAGGTACCAAGGAGGTTCAGAGAGGTCAAGCAACTGGCCCAAGGTCACCCAGCTTGGAAGTGGCATGCCTGGGATTTGAATCCTTGTCTATGGCTCTAGAAAGTTCTCTGCTGAGTCTAGAAAGCCCAAATCAATCCCTCCCCCTCCCCCTCCCCCCACAACATCATCCGAGGGTTAAGTCAACTCCCCTGCCCCTATCCTGGCATCCTATACAGGGAATGCAAACTTGTACATCTTATATAGCTTTTGGAGTGGGCCTGGGCAGGAGGGCAGGGGAAGTTGGAAAGATGCAGCCTTCCAGGGCTGGAGACCTGAGAGTACGTCCAGGTCAAGTGATGCCAGAGACCCCGAATGGTGCCAAGGACCTAGAAAGTTCCGTCTCGTTCAGGTCCAAAGCTGCTTCCTCCAGAAAGCCTTCTAGAGCTACCAGCTCAGGGGCACAGACAAGCCCAAAGAAGCCTAGGCCCAAACTTTGTGTTCAAAAGAAACTGAAACTCAGATGACAGGGGTGCTTGCCTGTGGGTGAGGGCAGACCCTGAGGCCCACCCACTTGGTTGGCCAGCCCTGTCCCCTTAGGGAGTCACTCCAAACTCCTCTTGGTGTGGTGGGGAAACTGAGGCCCAGGGAGGGCTAGAGCCTTGCCCAGGGTCACACAGAAGTTGGTGGCAGAGGTGAGATGAAGACCCGGGCCTCCAGAACCTCAGGCCGGGGCAGGTATTCCAGACCAAACCCCCTCATGCCCATTGGCCACCTTTCCATGGCCCAGAGGCAACTCCCACCTCCCACAGCGGGCCACCCAGCCCCCCTTCCCCGCAGTGTCCTCTGATCCAGAGTTCTGCGGTAGCAGAAGATGCCTTCTTCTGCCCTCTTGCTCCCAAGCCTGGCACGGGAAGGGAGCTAAGTGCGTGTTTGTAGGATGTTTTGAAAAGCTAGCAAGCCTCAGTAAATAGTGGAGGGTCAGCACAGACTCTGGAGCTATACCCCCTGGGTTCGAATCTTGGCTCTCTCTGCTGCTTCTGAGCTGCGCGACGCTGAGTAAGTAACATAACCCCTCTGTGCCTCAGTTGGCCCATCTGTAAGTGGTGCTGATGGAATCCATTGCCAGGGTTGTTTTGCGATGCGTGTAAAGGGCTTGGCACGTAGTAGCTGACTGGAGCTCACGTATGCCATGCTCTGAAAATGCCCAGTAGGGCTCAGCTACTGTGACTTCGTTTAGATTTGGATCCCAACATCCCCAGCTTCACCCACGCTGTCTGTGGCTCCCTCGAGGCCAAGACTCAGGCCGGAGGGGCAGGAAAGCTGCCCTGGTGGCTGCTGTCTCCTCTCCATGAAAGGCAGGTAAGGGCAGAGCTACAAGGTCCCCTGGCCGGCTCAGACGATCCCGTCTGGGCCCTGGAGGTGGAGGTGGGGGGAGAGAAGCCTCTGGAAGCTTTAGTTTCCTTCATCCCATAAACAAAGATCAGGCACCACCCTCCCAGGGCTGCTATGAGGAACCAGAGAGAGATGCTGTTTTAGTATAAGCTCAATAAATGCTAAACTCTTGTTAAAATTGTGCTTATTTTCTGAACAAGGAGAGCCAAGCTTCTACCCACGGGGCGCTGCCCTCAAACAGCAGAGGGTCCTGAGGGGCATGGTGCCTGAAGTCTGCAGGGACGGTGCCCGCGGCAGGAGCCTCCGCACAGAGGAGGGAGTGATATTTACAGTCAGCACAGTTGGGCTGCCCACACCTGGCCTGGGGCTCACCGTGACCAGCCAGCTGGGCCAGTCCCCAGCTCTGAGGCCCTCCACAGCCTGGACCTGGGGACAATCTTTCATGGGAGTCTGGGGGCTACTAGACTGGGTGTGGGACCTCTGGGCACAAAGCAGGGCTGCGGGCCCTAGGAGCCCCAGAGGAGAGAGGACAAGACAGCAAATCTGTACTTTCCTTCCATCCTTCCTTGTTCTTCCCTCCCTCCCCTCCTTGTTTTAAAATGTAATTTATTTATTTATTTTTGTAAAGATTTATTTAGGGGCTCCTGGGTGGCTCAGTCGGTTGTGTCTGCCTTCAGCTCGGGTCCTGACCTCAGGGTCCTGGGATCGAGTCCCTCATCGGGCTCCCAGCTCAGCGAGGAGTCTGCTTCTCCCTTTGCCCCTCCCCCCCCGCTCATGTGCACTCTCTCTCTCAAATTAAAAAAATCTTTAAAAAATAGACTTATTTATTTATTTTGCAGGGGAGAGAGAGAGAGAGAATGAGACGGGGAGAGGCAGAGGGAGAGGGAGAGAGAATCCCAAGCAGACTCCCTGCTCAAAGCAGATCTGGAGCTCGGTCTCACACCCCTGAGATCATGACCTGAGCCGAAACCAAGAACTGGATGCTCAACCGACTGAGCCACCCAGGCGCCCATCTCCCCTCCTTTTCACACAATTCTCAACCACCACCTATCATGTATAGACATTTTCAGGCAGTGGGGACACAGTCCTGATGAAGCATGTCTACCAAGCTGGAAACACATTCCCTTACTCACATTTTAACTCACTGGTTCAATAAAGTCTTTCATTTGTTTATTGATTCACTCCCTCAACAGAATTTTGTTGAGTTCCTTCAGTATGGATGGTAGGCAAAGCTCTGAAGTCAAACTACCTTAATTTCAACCCTGGTTCTGCCACTTGCTAGCTGTGTGACCTTGGGCCAGTTGCTTTCCCTACCTGAGTCCCAGTTTCCACATCTGTAAAATGGGATAGTGCCTCACAGGATTGTGGGTAGAGAGACTAACTGAGCTCTCTCCTCCACCTGTGAGTTCCATCTCAATGAGGGCCCTGCTCACCTGTTTAGCCCCACACATCCTCTGCACACTGTCAGGCCCTAGGCTGGGTCCTCATAAAACCATTTGCCCATTGAACAAATGTGAACACAGTGCCAACCACATGGCTCAGGGTCATGATGCCGTGGCTTACAGGTGTGTAGTCACGCTGCCTGGGGTTTGGATTTGGGCTCCGCCTCTTTCCTCATCTGCAAAATGGCAGTAAAAATCATACCCATCTCTCTGGTCTGGTATGAGAGGAACAGAGGGGGTGTGTGGTGCATATGAAAATATACATAGTCATGGGGCACCTGGCTGGCTCTGTCAGAGAGCAGGCAACTCTTGATCTCAGGATTGTAAGTTCGAGCCCCATGCTGGGTGTAGAGTACTAAAAAATAAATAAATTTAAAAAAATTTATATTTATACACACACACACACACATATATACATATAGTCATTATCGGGACGAAGAGGGTGTTTGTTAGAATGAAGTTTGCTTCTGGAAACATGGACCCCACTGGGTGGCCGGCCCAGGACTCTGGCCCCTTGCCCAGCGGTTGCCTACCCTCCCGGCTGGCCCGGACACGGTGCCCTCCAGTCTGATGATAGGGCGACACCTGCTGTTACAAAGCTGGACGTGCAGCCACAGGGCCACCCTCTTCCTTGAGGGCCTCCAACTCCCTTTGCAGCTGCGTCTTTGGGCTCTTCCAGTCCAGGGATTCTCAACTGGCGGGGTCGGGGTGGTGGTGGTGCAGATATCATCCAGATTACTCTGTTACTACCTCTCTAGACCAAGTTGCCACCCCTCTTTGTCTGGATTAGGGCGCAGCCTCCTAAGCTTCCCACCCCCCTCCTGCGCCCCCACCCATGACT